GCCAGCATGGCTGGCTGGGGAATTCTGGGAGTTGAAGTCCACCCATCTTCAAGTTGCCAAGCTTGAGAAACACTGCTCAATTTCTCAAATTCTGTGCAAATTTTCAGTGGCCCTTGTTCTTCTCCTTGGGGTCTTCTTTTCTTGTTCATCCATGGGGAAAAGTGATTTAAAAGGGAAGGAAATGTTGCTTCTCCCCCTCTTCCTGTGACCCACCAGCACCCCGTTGTGAAGACAAAAGGCCATTAACACCAGCTTTGTGCTGGTTTTCTCCCTTCAGCAAGAGGCCAGTCCATAAAATTAAAAATAAATGCTTTAAATTCAACCAGCTCTTGGGTAATACAGCCTACATTGGTCCAGATGTTTGGCAGAGCAACTTTTAAAAAGTTTTTCAGCCCTGAGTATTTTGCTTGCAGGGGAAATGACTCTTCCTCTTTTTCTACCCTAATTTTTTTTTAAATTATAAAGCTGAACCAAGAGGCCGGGCCAATTATGCAAACATTCAGTTCGGCAGGCAGTCTTGCAAGCAAAAGGCTTCACTTAGGAAAAAGCCCCTATAGGCAGGGAACCCTGGGAATTGGAGTCCAAAGATGGCCATTTCATTTCTATTTTTATCAATGTTTTCTGCCCTTACTGTCAACTGAATCTTATTTTTGTCTCATTACTTCCAAAGTAATTTTAACAATAAAGACAGGCAGTCACCAGAACTAGACTCTAATTTTTAGTTTGTAAACTATAATCATTCCTTATGTATTATTCTTCCTTATGTATCCCTACATTTTCTCTAGATATAAAATCAATTACAACTTTCCCATAGCTTTTAGTATTACAACGGTTCTATATATTTCAGATCGGTGATTTTACTATTCTATCACTCTAAAGAATCATTTAGTTGCCTTACCTGAATGGTATCATACTTTGCCACGTTAATTCCCACGCCCCAAATTCTTAAACTTTGACTTGCTATTTTACTTGTATTGTATGATTTTACAGCTTGTTTTACTCTGTTTGGTTGTGACTCTTTTGTTTCATTTCGCTGATTGAAATGAAACGGGCCCGGAGCAAAGCAATGGGTGCAGAAAGACCAGATGCGTGACGCTCCGGTATGGGGATTGCTCTCCATGGGGAACGAAACCCGTTTCGGCAGCGAGGCCTGGGGGGCGCAGACGCAGAGGATTCTGCATCTTTGCATCCTCAGCTGCCCTTTTGCAGCTGGACCCACTGACTAGAGCCGTCTGTGCATGGATTTCAGTGATCCTGGAGCAGTCGGAGGTTCAGACAGACGTCGCGTCGTCTCTGGGAACTTTTAATGAACTTTTGCTGACTGGGACTGAATGAGGCAGCTTTAAGAATTTGCTCACAGGTAATTTTTTTGAATCTTTGTAGCTGTAAACTTGAATAAAATTTATTCTTGAGAAAAAAAGAGGTGGAGGAAAGGACATCAGGCACAGAGTCACTGCACAAAGGGCACGGATTATGTCACCTGCGCATAGATGCCATCTGGACATGAGGTCATGGGGCTTCTGCCAGACACCTATGGGAACAGCACCTTACGTGCAGGGGCCCAAAAATCAAGATGGCGGCCAGGGCCCTGCCATTGAAGCCGCCATCTTGCCTTTTTTGACCCCACCTGGGGATGGCAAGCATGCAACTAACCGAATCCATCAAAGGCAATCACTTGCATTATTGGATGGATCTTTCCCTTGCTGACACTATTCTATTGTTTTTCACCCCAGTGACTTCCAGGTGTATTGGACTGTGCATCCCCCCTGCCTAAATTATTTAAAATTATGGCTGAGGATTACCCCATCCCATCCATCAGTCGCTGAGAGTTAACCGTGAGAAATGTATCTTGCAGCAGGGGCAGAAAATGTTGATTTTACTCACCTGACTCCTTCGTTGAGATTGTAAAGCTCGTGGTCTGCAAGCCCTTTTCTCTGAAACACAGCTATGACTCCGTTATGGATACTGCAAGAGAGACGAGGAAATGCATTCTGAATCAATAAAAATAATACGCCAGGAAGCACTCTTTCTTTTGGGAGGCAAGAATCCTCAGCTGCTTGCAGCCATTAAATTAGACTTTAAAGAGAAAAAAAATAAAAGAAGAATATGGAATAGAGTCTTCAGGCTGGAATCACATTTCCTGCTAAGCCGTGTTTCTCAACCTGGCAACTTTAAGAGGGGTGGACTTCAATTCC